TCAGTCGCATTTCTTCAGTGGCCTGAGTTATCTTAATGATACTATCGCAGTGACTGCAGACTGTCTCATTCGAAATGAAGTCGATATTTTTAATTCGTTGCGGAAAAGTGCGACTGACCTCTTTGTTGATGGGATAAGGCATCTGACAAGGCTGTCTGCAAGTGGTTAGGAGAAAAAAATTGGCTCTGTGTGTGTGTTACATTCTGTCCTCTCTATCCGCCCCTTCTGTTCTAATCGTTACGCGGAACTCGACAAGACCTACGCCATCAAGTGCTATTGACTATACCATTTAAAAAAAAAGTGTTTTCATGCTCCCATCGGCCCATTATGTCATCTCTTATGCCGAGCTGCACTTCCTCGCAGTGTCTGCCTTGTGTTTTCTTCTTTTAACTGCTTCCTACTTACACTTTTGTTTTTCTCACTAGATTTTATTCGGCAGCCGGAGACCTTCAAACTCGTCCGCTTCGTTGCCCGCATCACGGATTGGCCGGAGGAAAGCACATTTGCCAAGGGGTACGTTTGGTTTTGTCGTACAGTGGCTTACGGGGAGTAATACTAACGAAGAGCAGAGCAGAACTAGAAAGGACCGTGGGATGATAGCTTAATTTTCCTTTGACAACGGCCCTGTGGTGAAGACACTAGAGGCCTGTCATGATGGCAGAGCCATCAACGGATAGGTCCGAAAGACACGAAGTGGCATCTTCCTTGTGAAGGGCTCTACTAGATGGCCGAACGCTGCGGCTGGGTCCAGGAGCGTGGCAACAGTTTTGATTAGAATGGCCGAGTTGCGACCAGGTCTTCCAAAACTGCTGGCCTAAGAGTGCGTTGTGAGGGGTGACCGGCAGCACAGAGGCCTCTGCATGAAGATGATCGATAGGATACATTTTAGAGCAACCCCTGATTGAGCGGAGGGCAGTAATCTGTGCTGACTGAAGCCGGTGGAGGCCTTCATATCTCGGAAGATCCGGTGCCTTTGCATGGTAATCAAAGGTTTGGAAAGAACGAAGTGGCGACCGTCTCCGGCTCACTCCTGGCATATCTATTCAAAATCGCTCATCAGGTGGGCTCTAATGATATTTGTGCGAGAATACTCTCACGAAATGTCACTCAGGCAACGCATTACTGCCACAGCAAAAGCTGGCGCCCGCATGCATAGAAATTACGTTCAAGCTTTCCCCGTTACCATTGCCCAACAAGCTCATTGAGGCTAGCATAAATTATTGATCCGGGAACGTATTATTTCACTCATTCTGTCGCTCTCTTGCCTCGTCCCGAAGCTGGTTCCAAAAACTACTCTTTCACAATGCATAGCCTACACCCCTCCCCTTGCAGTCGTTTGCATGAACCCTATTTTTTGTCCCGTTTAAGGACCCAAGCGTTCCCCTCCACCTACTAGTCATTATGAAGGAAGCAAACACGAATAAACTAACCATTTACGTTACTGTACGCACATTGCCTGAGCTCCAACAGAAACCGACAATTTGTCAAGGCCTCCTTTTTTTCTTGTCACCCAATACCATTGAAATGGACATTCATCCATCATATACGTTTCAACATCCTGTCCCCTTCCAGTGAACTCCTTCGCAGTTTCGCAGACGAAACGATGGGCTTCGTCGAAGCAGAAACGGATCGTATCCTGGTCTCTACGGGTTTTCCCTATGGTCTCGAGTCAGTGACTAACTTCCCGGAGCCAGTGGAGTCCTACGTCACGAAGTGTTTGAAAGAACTCGAAACGCATCAGGAAGAAGAGCTGCTCCGCCGTCGGGACTTTCGTGATCAGTGTGTTTTTACCATTGATCCAAGGACCGCGAGGGATCTGGACGATGCCCTGCACGTACGAATACTAGGGCAGGAGGAAATTAAAGCACTCGAAGCGAAAGGCGTTCGTGGTGCCAAATACGAGGTCAGATTATGCTCATGGATGTGCTCTTTCTCCCTACAAAAGCGCGTTTCTTATCATTATTTTTTCAATAACTTTTATTTGAGTTGACCCAAGTGTGAAAAACTCTAGGCGTTTGGCGGGATTTG